TGGCCCATGTTGATATTATCATTGCGGTCTTCCTGGGTGAGGCAGATCAGTCACCGGCCACTGGATGGCCACTCATGGTGGCTCTTTGCAGCTCACGCAGGCTGCCAGCCACTCATGGTAGCTTAGGGCAGCCCACTGCAGCTCCACTGCAGCCTACACAGTCGCCGGTGACTCACAGCAGCCCAGCTCCAGGTTGAGCTGTTGTTCACCATCTTAGCTGTAGCGGGCACAGTGTCACTGGCTCATGTGGGATCTGAACCAGTGGCCCTACTGCTCAGAGCTTGTGCTTCTAAGCCAACTCTTAACCAATGAGCCACTTGGCTGGCCCACAAAATTTTAACTTTTTAGACCCACCTCTTTGTGTGTGGCATTTTTGCTACTTCTGAGAATCACTTTAAAAAAAAAAAAAGGACTCTGGACATTGGATATTTTGTAGTGTTCTGTCTTTTGTTGATATGAGGGGAGAGATTAGCTAATACTGTGATATTCGTTAATATTTATTTTCTGAGTTAAAGTCTGGGAAAAGAGGAAATATGATTACAGTGTTGCAGTAGCTTCTGTTTTGGAGCTATTGAGTATTTTCAGAAAGGTCACTTTAACCTTTTTTAATTTTAATCCCTGATTAGGAGCAAAAAAAGAGATATAATTTGCAAAAGTCATAGAAGTGAAAAAGAGATACTGAAAATAACTTAAATACAGTTGATGCTAATCTCCACCAGTGCTATGCACTCTTCAAGATTTTCAGCCACTGTGGAGAGCCTTTCCCATGTTTCTGTGTTTCCCTCTTCTCAATGTAATTCCAGATTGTTCTTGTGTTTGATTTTAAAGTTAATCAACTCACAACAGATTTAGTGGTACTTTGTGTTAGCACTTCTGTAAAAGGATAAAATGTAAACCCTTGATCAACCCCTGATTATGAAACAAATAGATAAGCAGAACAAAATCAGAAGCCTAAGTCCTGGAGAAAGTAAATAGTACATTTGATCACATATGCTTTAGAAAGGCTCAATCCGATTTGGAAAATAAACACTTCATGGATCAAGCAATGCTCCAGTTCCTTTACTAAAGTATATTGAAACAGTGAAAATAACAATTTACATGTAAAGACTGAAGAGTATAGCATTATTTTTCTAGTTGTTTTTATTATATAGAATTATATATACTTTCAGACTTGAGTGATAGGAAAAAAGAATTGGCCAAATTAAGGAAACCAACTTATTATATATTGGCTACCAAAATATTATTGTAATTATTATTTTTTAAATTCCTGGCTGACACATTTCAAATGTTCCCATTCCTGGCTTATATAACTCAAAAAACACAGACTCAACATGACTTTCAAGGACAACTCTGAATGTTAATGTTTCCATTTTTGGCCTCATAGCAGAAAGAGTTTTATTAACCATTGTAAGCTCTGGAATGTCAAGGGCGTGATAGACAGTATAGACTCCACACACAAAATAAATGCATCATCATTTTATTCTAAATTGCTTCACTTAAAAATGTAGCGTGCAAATCTAGAGAACAGAAGTAAAAGTAAGTGATTTTATGGTGCTTTAAAATGTTGAGACTTGAAAATTGAAAGCCCTGGGATAAAAATGCTCATGCATTTGAGTTTGTGATGCAACCTATTATAATAAGTTCCCTTATACCTGCTGTAAGGTTTGAATGCCTAACAACTAGTCTGATAGGTGCCAAGCATCATTGTTTCATGGGTAGGGACGGCATGTTTTCCAGAAAGTAACAGGCCTTAACCCAAACCTGCTTCTCCATTCTTGTGTTATATAATAAAGTTTTCTAAGAAGCTACTATTGGGTTGTCGGAAAAGTCATGACGTATTTTTTCTATGTTTTTCATTGCAAAAATGTGTCATGACTTTTCGGACTACCCAGTAGATGATTAGAAGTTTCACATACTCATGCAGGATTTGCCAATAATAACTAGTGTATCATGATACCGTCTTGGGGAAATTTGGAGCTCCCGGACAGGATATCTAGGTTCTAGAGCAGCCTCCTATATTTACTCCTTTGTTTAACCTTCTGTTTATTCCTATGTTTACCTCTGTTTCTCTTGACAAAATATTCACTCTGATTTGTAAAAGATTAGAATGAATACTGTTTTGCGGTTATATGTGCTTTAATTGTAGTTAGACTTAAAAAAAAGCTAATCCCTCTTATTAGGTTGTAATCCTAATGCAATCAGGAAGGGACAAATTCATCTGTGTATATTGCCACCACCTCTCCACAGGGCACCATTCATTCAGCAAAAGTTTATTGATCTTTCGTTGCTTGGAATATGTAGTGAGGACAGAGGGCATCTCTGTTCTAGTGCATCTTATATTCCAATAATTAGAGACAAACTCCAAATGACTAAATATAAGAAAATATTGAATAGTAAAAAAATTATTTAAACCTTCATACACTGTTGGTGCAGCCTCTATGGAAGGCAGTGTGGAGGTTCATTAAAAAATTAAGAATCGGGGCTGGCCAAGTGGTGTGTTGGTTAAGAGCTAGCTTGGTACACCAGCTCTGAGCAGCAGGACTCCGGTTCGGATCCCACATTAGGGCCAGTGACGCTGTGACCTCTATAGCTAGGATGGTAAACGACAGCTCGACCTGGAGCTGGGCTGCTGTGAGTCACTGGCAATGGCATAGGCTGCAGCCCCTGCTGCAGTGCGCTGCCATTAGCTACCGTGAGTGGCCAGCAGCTGGCCAATAGCTGCTGTGAGCTTCCATCCAGTGGCCGGTGACTGATCTGCCTCAGCCAGGAAGAGCGCAATGATAATACCAACATGGGCCAGTGAAGCGATGTCCTCCACAACTAGACTGAAGGACAAAAGGACAGCAACTTGTCTGTTCCCCTTCCCCAGTTCCCCTACACTGTTCCCTTCACCCAATTCCCCAATTAAAAAAAATCTAAAAAAAAAATTAAGAATAGAATTATCGTTATGACCCAGCAATCCCTTTCCTGGGTATCTACCCCAAAAATCTGAAAACATTTATCCATATAGATATGTGTGTCCCAATGTTCATTGCAGCATTATTTATGGTGGCCAAAACATGGAAATAACAAAAATGTCCTTTGATAGATGATTGGATAAAGGGTATATATACACAATGGAACACTATTCTACCATAAGATGAAATAGTGCCATTTGCGGCAACATGGATGGATCTTGAGATTATTATGCTAAGTGAAATGAGTCAGACAGAAAAAGTCGAGCACCATATGATTTCACTGATATGCGGAATGTAAAACTGAAAGCAACAAAGGAACAAGACAAATAAATCAAGAAAGAAAAACTCATAGACACAGACAACAGTATAGTGGTTACCAGACGGTAAGGGGGGAGGGGAGTGGTAGATGAGGGTAAAGGGGTCAAATATATGGTGACGGAAGGAGAACTGACACTGGGTGGTGAACACACAATGTGATATATAGATGATGTATTACAGAATTGTACACCTGAAACCTATATAATTTTACTAACCATTGTCAACCCAATAAATTTTAATTAAAAAAATGATGGAGAAAGAGGATAAGGAACAGATTTAGATAGCATATTTATGGAAAGCATCTCAGGGCAGGTGACACTTAATCTGAGTCCTGAATGATAAGGAGAGATAAGATATGGACAAAGAATAATTCAGGTGAGAAAATAGCTTGACACATTTGTGGAAGACAGAGAAGACAAGTGTGGCTGAAACAGTGTCAGATATGCAGTTGGATTGGAGAAGTAGGCAGGTGCTAGATCATAGAAGGATTTCAGGTAAAGAATTTGGATTTTCCTTCTTAGTGTGATGGAAATCCATTGGTTTTGATACAGAGTGACATATGATTTATAGATGAGCAGAAGAGAAGGAACCAGCAAGGAGCTAAAAAGCAGCATTTGGTGACGTGGGAGGATAATCAGGAGAGAGTAGTACATGATGCTCAGGAGAAAAGGATAACAAGAATGAAGGAATGGGTAATTAGGTTAGTAATTGAAATGTGAAGTAAGATGATACCAAAAAATGCATATTGGATTTGGGAACCTGCATGTTGATGACAACCTTTATAAGAGATGTTTCAATGGGATAGTGGGCAAAGAGAATAGTAGGGCAAGGAAGTGGAAAGAGTGGAAACAACTGGAGTGTCCTTCGATAGATGATTGGATAAAGAAGATGTGGTACATATATGTAATGGAATACTACTCAGCCATAAGGAAAGATGAAAGACTGCCATTTGTGACAACATGGATGGGTCTTGAGAATATCATGCTAAGCGAAATAAGTCAAACAGAAAAAAGTTGAGAACCATATAATTTCATTCATATGGGTGATATAAAACTGAAAGGAGCAAGACTCAAATAAAAACTCATAGACACAGACAACAGTTTAGTGGTTACCAGAGGGTAAGGGGGGTGGAGGGTGGTAGATGAGGGTAAAGGGGGTCAAATATATGGTGATGGAAGGAGAACTGACTCTGGGTGGTGAACACACGATGCAATATATATATATGATGTATTATAGAATTGTACACCTGAAACCTATGTGATTTTAACAAATGCCACCCCAATAAATTTAATTTAAAAAAGAAAGAAATCCAAAATATTGTTTAGTGAAGAGGAAGACATATTAGGGCAGTAGCAGGAGGAGTTTGTTGGGTCAACAGAGTGTTTTCTTTGGGTTAATAATGAAGAATTTCAGTAGAGATGGAGACATTGAAGGTGCCAGAGGCAGCAGGTCATTTTAGGAGAAAAGTCCTTGCAAAGGGAGAGGAGGTGGGATTAGGGGCAGAACATCCTCCTGCACCTTTCTCAACAGATGCTCTCTCTCTGTACTTTCAAGTTCCATTGATGGTAGAAATGTGTACATTTTGCTGAGCATCATAGCAAAAAATGTGCTTGCAGTGGTTCTAGTTTAATAGGAAAAATCACATTACCCAAAGCATGGCAGAAATAATAAATCACATGCATTTGGGAAGAAATTTTAATTTCCTTTAAAAAATGTCTTTTTCAGGTGCTTCAAGAAGACCTAGAACAGGAACAAGTCAGGGTTAATTCTCTCACTCACATGGTGGTGGTCGTTGATGAATCCAGCGGAGATCATGCAACTGCGGCTTTGGAAGAACAACTTAAGGTCAGATTATTGTCTCCAGTCCACTAAATCTGTCATTTAAAAGAATGAATTGCTATTCATAAAATACTTAGAAAATTTATAATGTAATTTGTGTATTATAAATATTTAGAATGCAATGTACAGTAAAACCTTGGATTGCGAGTAACGTGGTTTGTGAGTGTTCCACAAGACGAGCAAACATTTTAATACATTCTAATGTGGTAAACGAGTGATGTCTTGCAATACGAGTAGTTTATTTCTGGAATGAATTATGCTCGCAAACTAAGGTATTACTGTATTTATTTAAACTAATTCAGATGATGTCCCATTTGTGCCTAATTCCCTTTCATTAACTATATATACAGTGTCCATACTAGCTTCCTGGCCTTTGGGGAAATATATATATGCAGACACATATATTTTTACTGTAGTTGAATAACACGTATTAGAGAATTGATCAGGGGTATATTATTTATGCTCACTTTAAACCTATGTCTAAGAGAAGACAAAGGTAAAACAAAAACAAAAAGGGTCACATTCAATCAAATAATGAGAAATTGAGCACCTTTAGTGTATTTTTTTTTGGAAACCTTTAGTTGTAGTCTTGATAAGGGCATAGTAGGATGTTTAAGTCATGTAAGTTTTGTTGGAGCAGATACTTAGCCATACAAGACTTCATTCAACTTGAGTCATAGTGATTGTGTCCTTGGAAACATGACCAGTACTTGTAAACAAAGGGTAAGGTGAATATGATCATATTTTTATCTTTTCTTCCTAATTGGGAATCATAAAGTTTTACTGTAAAAAATGAAAACAATTTCAACAACACATATCTATATCTATCTATCTATCTATCTATCTATCTATCTATCTATCTATCTATCTATCTATACATATATATACCAAAACATCAACAATAAGGGAAAATACAATTTATTGTTCTGAATGTGACACATTCAGAATATGAGTATTTACACAACTACATATTATATTTGAGGCATTCACTGTATTCACCAAATGCCTGCCTTTCCTTTGTGATCATTAGGGCATATAGTCTGACATGTCTAAGGATCTAATCAGTGTGGGTTTAAAATAGTTTTACACACTCAAGGTTGTTCTAAACGTAGTTTGTCTTACCTAACCTATAACAAAGTTTCTTCAAGTTTTATTTCTGTTTTGTTCTCTTTTTGTGTTTTTTTTTTGTTTTGTTTTGTTTTTTATTTATTGATTGATGTTTTTAATCCCAGTGAAATGTCATTTCCTCAGGTTACTACTTTAGATTGTGGATCCCCAACAATGTTATCTCATTTTCCATCATTAAATATAATAAAGAGAAAACTCTTGAACTGCTCCAGTGAGCATTTAATATATAATAGTGACACATGTTAATTGCTTATGTTTCAATGACATTGTAGGGATTGCAGATCTAAAAAGGCTTGTGACACATGATATTATATCATTGCATATACAATCAAATATATTGTGCATGCGCTTACGTACACGCTTATGACCAGCTCATGACAGACCACTGCTGTACCCATTTTAAGGAATTCTATAGTTCTGATACAGTAGTGAAACTAATTATAGAATGTTAAAAATCTAATACTCAGGGGTTGGGAGGGTAGACTGGTTAAAAAAATTATGGCAGAAATTTTTCTAAGTCATACAGTATTACCGGTTAAAATAACAACACCCACTTTGGCATGACCAGACCTAGTATCACTAGCTCTGGAATATAATTATTCCAAGGTGATGCCTGTGGGACCAGGCCACCTGGGAAAACAGTCCATAGAACTCACAGATGGTGACTGGGTTAGAGCTTACATAGGATAAATTAAGAGTGGTGGCCCTAAGCATTTTGATATTTATTATCCTACTTGCTTTCATTTTTCACCTTGCTATCTGCCTTAATTTCTTTGGCCCAGAGATAATCCCCTAAAATAGCTGTACATGTGTTGTGTATTCCTAATTCACACAAACTCAGTCTCCATTTGTCCATGAGTGCCTGCTGCTTAATTAGTGTTTACCACTGCCTCCCAGCCTACTGTTTTTCCCTCGACCCCCTTTCCCCATTTGATACCCTCCCTTCCCTCCATATAGCCCCTTACTGTCACCTGATAATCTAGACTAGTGTCTAAAAGGGCAGAGTTAGGAGGACTTCAGTGGTGAGAAAGCCCCTGTTTTAAACCTTTCTTCTCATTCCATCAGTTTCTCAGTCCCAGAGGAATCCACGCTTGGATTCTCCGCGTTATTTGACCATTGGTTTGAATTACCCTGGAATGCTGCACTCTCATTTACCTTTGACATTTGGATAACTCTTTCTTAGGTTCTTTGAAAATGATATAATCTTGTCTTACCTAATTTAATTTCTAAAAAGAAAGAGAAGAGGAAGACAAGTTGGTCGAGGAGGAGAAGGAGAGAAAAAATCATAAAGGATAATAAGACAGACGAATACATTAGAGAAGCCGCTTTAACAGCATCACAAATATCCTCTGCGCATGATAAGAATCCAGTGTGTGCGTCAGAGTCCATGGAGTATCATATGTTTCATACTGGGCCCAGAGAAATTCTGTCAGAAGTAGTAGGAAGGGTTTTAGGAAAGAGAAAGAGGTATATGGACTCCATACAAGAGAAACAAAGAAAAAAGAAAGAAAAAAATCTGGGTGAGACCTGAGAGGTATCCTTGAGAGTTTTTATTGGAGTGAGGTCATGTCATCCATAGCTATTACCCAAGATCCGATAGTATCGAATGCTCACCCCACACCCTCTTTCCCCGCCAGTGTCTCCCATGTCACCACAGTGCCTTACTCCATTTCGCTTGAGTTTGCTGAAGCACCATCCAGAGCCTCAAAATGAATACCCAGCAGTCTTTAGTTAAGAGATGGCAGACTAGGAAAACTAGGAAAGGAAGTCCTTGATTGAGTACTTTAAGAGAGAGATGTGTACTTACCATCTTGAGTTCGAACTCTAAAAATAACTCCTCATAGAATATCTTTACATGTGTTGTCTTAGTTCTGTGAACTCTATGATAAGTTAGATTTCCTCTAACTTTCAAAGACTTTTAGAAGTCTTCCATTTCAAAAGTTTGAAGAAAACCAAAGTTAGGTCAGAACCATATGCTTAGGGATTCTGCAAGAGGCATGGCTTATGAAGGGTAATATTCTGAAAAGTGCAGTCTGTTGTAAATTAATTTGATTCGCTCTCTCCGAGGTTCAGCTTGTCTCTCAGCAGTGTCACCTTGCTCAGAATCTTGTCCTTACCTTTAGAATCTTTTAGGATGTCAGTAGAAGGAGAGTATGATTGTAAGCAGTGATGCCGAGTAAGTAATTTCATTGAGTAAGAACTTGGCTAAATAACTGACACTGGTATTTATGTAGAGTCTTCAGTCCTGGAGGACATTATGATGTCTTGCTAAGCATTCAGCATTTCATTTTTTATTGTTTCAGTGAATACTCGTGTTCTTACTAATGTCTCAAGGGTTGTGGTGGGCAACAGTGGTAAAAGAGTGAGCAAAAGAGAATCTGTCATGTTCTTCCCAGGTCAGGAGTGAGTAATTCATGAGCCAATTGCCTTGCTTGGAACCTCGAAACAATGGTAGCCATTTCTCAGGCTCCCTCTTTGGAATCAAATGCTGATTCCTTCTCATCCGTGTTCACCATGGTGGGACATGGTGGGCTTGGCGACTGCTGTCTTGGTACTTGTAAAGTAGCGGAATAAATAGATATTAATCAAATATTTCCAAAAAAGAGCAAATATTTTAGCATGGACATAACTTACTTCTATGAAGGAAAGGAACAAGATTTTGTAACAACAAAGCAATCTGACTTAAATTGAAGTTTGAAGGCATGAAATGATTCCCTAGGAGAATGAGGTTTAAGATGGGATTTAAAGGTTATGTTGGAGGGAACTGTATAAAGTGCGTGTAAAGGGGATTGGTGGAGGTGGGTACAGTTCCCAGGAAGGAGAAACAGTATATCAAGTGAGCATGTTACCTTCAACAAACTGAGAAAGGGCCAATTTAGCTACAACATTGTCAGAAGAGTGATGCTAGAGGAGCCTACGCAGGTAGACAGAGGCTTACCTTAAGAATTAGAATTAGCATGTGATACTATAATAAATTCCACAATGATTCTTTGAGTCAAAAACCACATATTGAGCAGCAGCTCTCTGCCAGGATGACAGATGGGACTACAATGGTGGTGGTGGTGGAGGGGGTCAACAGCCATGGCACCTGCCCTCCTGGACCTTCGCTAATCAAATGCAGTTAAATGTAAAATTATGGCCATGATGAGTTCAATGTGACAAAAATGCAAATTGCTACATGATCTATCTTGTTCTAGAAGGTCAGAAAAGTAGAGGTGAATTAGGCAACACTAAAGAGTAGGAAAGTGTCCCGGACAGAAAAGCAATATTTATTGATTCATTTGGCAAATATATGTTGTGCACCTACTAGGTGCTAGCCAAAAGTCCAAGCTTTGAGGTTAGGTATGGACAAAACATAAATCATTCCTCAAGGAAGCTTGCATTCATTCTAAGCATGCATCATAATAAATAGGCAAGTTTTATACTATTAAAAAGGTGATTAAGAACTACAAGGAAAAATACACTGAGGAAGGGAGCAGTTTTACATGGTCAGCAGAAGCTTTATTGAGAAAGTAGTACTTTAGAAACAAAAACTCATAGACACAGACAATAGTTCACTGGTTACCAGAGGGTTAGGGGGCTCAAATATATGGTGATGAAAGAACTGACTCTGGGCGGTGAATACACAATACAATGTATAGTAGTAGATGTAACCTATGTAATCTTGTATGTAATTTTACTAATCATTGTCACCCCAATTTTAATTTAAAAAAAAGAGAAAACATTTGAGCAAGAACTAGAACAGAGCAAGGGAGGTGTTTTGGAGGTGCACAGGTCCCATGGGGCCATTTCCATTTGAAAAATTGAAAAAAGACTATAAATGGAGCAGAAATCCTGTTTTTCTAGGGAGAGAGCTGTTTCCTAGTTTTTTTTAAAAA